CTTTCAATATGAATATTTTTTTTTAAACAATACGTGCAATTCTTACTTCATTTGCTAATCAAACCACTTAAAACATTAAGTAGAATGTTCGATTACAACTATAAAATGTTGTCGAAATTCTTCTCATCAGTTTATCCACTTGAATATCAAAAATAAATAAAGATATTTTACTAATAAAGAAGAATTGTAGAATATCAATCAAACATAAGAAATTATTTCACTTTGGAAAAAAACACAGGCTATGAAATTTTAAAATTATATATCAGATGAATTGCGTATGAAATAGAACAGTAGTGAGTTACTTTGACATATGGTCGATTCGATAATATAATGCTCATTGCAAGTCTTCGAAAATATGAAAGAACATAAGAGTTAAAGCCATAGCCACATCTACCCATGCCTACACCCTTATTTAAATGAGCATAGTTATACAATTTTTAGTGATGTTGTATCTCAAGATGAAAATATTATAAATAAAGATTTATTATGAAATTTTTTTGAAAATATTCCTGGATGCTATATTTCACGTAATGATCCATAAATTTGGTCAAAATTTTAGTAAACATACAAAAACAACTAGATTGTTTCTTTTTCGATGGTGATTTTACTTTTTTTTCTAGATCACGTTCTTCATCTTATGGTATCGTAAATAGTTGTGGTATTGGTCAATAGGATTTTATGTGGAATATTCGTTCACATTGAAATATAAAATGAATTTATTCTCAAATATAGAGTACAAATCAACTATTAGTTTCATCTGATGGTTGTGGTATTTTTCGTGATTGGTGTTATGATATTAAATAGAAAATTAAAGGTGGATGATATCATGTTAACTAAAACTCAATTATGAAACTTAATCGATGTTGTATATAAGGATTTGTTTCATTAACGAATTAAAATAAAACAACGAGCGGTTTGATTTTATTCCATATTTACATTTGTGTTTTGCACAATTAAAGCATCTTGTTTATCGACCAAAAGATATTGTTATGATATCACTTGATCATTCAATTTTAGATCGTGGTCAAAATATTTGAAAACCTGTTCAATCTTGCGCGGTAATTTATATTCTATAGAATAGTCGTCTTGTATCTTGGAGTTCACTGGCATTTTCAATTGAAGAACGATATGAATATGAACCAGTAGATTTCATACGAATTATTACTTGTGTTGGTATGAGCCGAACAATATTTGTACATGGTTATACATTTGATAAATTTCGAAAAGAACGTAAATAATTAGTAGAGAATAATCGTACATTAACACATCGGAGTATAGATTTAATGCAAACACGTAAATTTCAAAATAAATTGTATTGTTTTTTTTTGTCTTAGGTACTTAGATTGATTTGTCTAAAATATCATTAAAAAACTTTGATGCATATCAACATGCAGTTATTCTTACGTTAGTACTGATTTCGATGATGGATGAATAAATCGATTTTTTATGATTTATTTCAAGAGGTCGAAAATAAGAGTGTCGTTTTTTTTTTAAGATTGAATAATTCCTTTTTATCATTCGATTAATAAAATGAATCCAGTCAGTAACTGTTTTAAATTGATTTAATAAATTATGTCTTTCTCAATCATTGATAAAGAATTCTTTTTTACTTTTTAAAGCGAATTGAGTTTCTAAAATATTCACAGAAAGATATGGATGTCGTTATTCCGTTCTATCACACTCACACCTCTCGACCGCACTCACATCTAGAAGAAACTATCAATCTTGGATAATAAATCATTCAATCATGTTTTTGAAAATTCTTGAATGTTATTTGGCATGTTTATCAAAGTGATTACACAATCGACTAGATTTTCTTTTTGAGTAGAACTACTACGTAAGAAAAGTTAGCAGCAGATTCGAATATTTACTGCTGACACTTACTTCTCGACTTTGGATAGTTCATAAGTTGGCTGTGTTAAATACATAGCCTGATTTTCTATGGATTGATAATATTTTTGCGGACGGTCGTCGAGCGAAAAAGTGATCGCATACGGTGTAGTTGTATCGTGAGTGTCAAGAGCACACTTTCACGAAGCATCATTTTTACATCCATACCCACACCCTCCAAATACTACTAACTGATATAATGAACACTGCCCAACAATCGGCGATTTTGTTGCTCGATGCTGAATGAGTATGAATATAATTTATGTGCTCAGCTATGTTATCAGATATCTTAAATCAATGAAAACGAGAAAATGGTACTCTCTGTAGTCGATATGACCACAGTTTCAAATAAAATGTCGGAGTACCCGCAATCTATTATTAAAATGAGCCCGGTAGATAGGTAGCTGAGTAACTGAGGGTTCTCTCTCAATTATATTCGCAATCCAAGTTTATTATAGTTTCCCCCTCAAATACTCTGCAAACAGTGGTTCACCATATAAAGTTAAAAATTGTGCTTGTGCCAAGAGTGCATGCAAGAGTATGGACGGACGGATGAATAGATATCTAGTGTCCTCACATCGTCAAATGCTCGTTTTCTTTTTTATTCGTCTTTCAACTTCGCTTTTGCAACGCAACCAGATGAAAGAATAAATTATCCATCACATATGGACTAATTTCGCTTTTGAATCATTTAGTTTGTTTGATAAATTTAACAACCATATTTTCTACAACTAAATCAACGTCTTATTCGCCTGCAATACGGATACTGTCGGCGAATATCATATGATGTTGCAATTATCTGAAAAAAATACAAAGAGTTTTTATGACACATACGGGGAAAAAATCAACAATAATCGTCTGCTATTTATTTTTTTTTTCGTCCTTTTCTATTTAATCGTTGCTTTTGCCGCTTATAACTTTTTCAACGCAGTATGTTTTACATGTGTCTTTGTTGTTCTATTCTGTACTTCGATGTGAGAGACAGTTTTTTTCTTCTTTAGTGGCCTTGCAGTCTCTTGTGCGTGTAAACGCATGAATTTATTGAAAAATTGTTACATTTTTCGATTTCAGCGGAACTTTTTTACATATTCAAAACATTCTGCCTATTTTTATTATTCAGAATCATCTATTATTCATCGTTCATCAAACCTTCGTGTCGTTTAACTGCGCTTTATTGCTACTTGTTACGATGGACACTAATCAATCGACAACAACTGCAAGGTAGGCGAACCACTCCACATAATCTTTTAAACAAAATATTTTTCTTTCATCGACTGAAAACCCAGAGAATCATTAAAAATATTCAATTGTTGTATTTTTCATTAAAATGCAAATTAGAATTCCAAGTCATCATAACTAGAACTTCTTTTTTTTTAATATTTCCTTTTTTTGTTCATATCAATGGACAGTATTTATTGTCGTAGATAATCTAATTAGTTATATGGACCATAAAAGGTGTTTACTTTTGGAAAAAAAACAAGACTGTTTTGAGAATAATCATCATAAAGGAAAATAATATAACATAAAAAGAATAGGATTTTAAGCAAAATCATATCAAGTTTCATTCACGACGACTTAATCAACATGTTCGATACTATTAGCAAATGTAAATCTGCTATCAGTATGATTTGTTTGTTTATTCGATGAGAGTCAACTGCTTATATTTGAAAGCTTGATAAGGGAACATATTCACTGAAAAAACAGAGTCGATTCATCATTATGGTACAAGATTTGATTTATGGATCGAAATGAAAAATTTGGATGATACTAGGAATTGAGATCAATATTGAGGCAGCAATCCGATATGAAAGATTTTTTGCTCTTGAACAAATGAAAGGCTTAACCTAATTCTCTCTTATTTCGAATTCACAATTCTATCATGTAGTTAGGATTGAAGGAAGACTAGTCACCAAATATCGTAGTTTATCTACTGTGCAATAAGTTCTAAACAAAAAGCTGTATTCTATGCTAATTAAATAAATTACATTATCGACGACATAAATCCAATTAATCAGACATATACCCAAAAGTTTTGGCCGTAGGATAGTTTCTTTTCTTTTTTTTTGTCGAAGAATGGAAAGATTCACATCTCATGATCCACTGTTTTTTTATGTGTCCTTGCAATTAATAGAGCGTCCTCTACAACAAGTAAAAGCTTAAAAGAGTTCGTGCACATGGGTTGCTGAAACCAGGTTATGAACGTTTCACTGAATTTTCCACCTAGAATTTCACCCAGGAATAGATATAATAACCCTTGAAATATCATGAAATTTCCAGCCCAAAAGAATGTTCATGTATCGGAATATTGAGTTTCCAATTAAACTCGATCTTTTTGTGACATGTTGATGTTCAGAGACTGGTTGTTGAAGATTCTCTTTCTCGATATTAAAGTTCCGTTGTTCAATTTTTCAGTGAATACTTCAAGAAGAGTCAAAAATTCAGGCAAACAGTCATAACTTGGCTCCTGAATCTCATGAGCAAGAAAGGTTCTAAGCGTTTATAGTCTTATCCAGACTTTCTTGTACTCTCAATATGAGCTGAAACGGCGAGTATCATATCGGGTCATTTCCTTGTAAGATAAAGGTTGTCAATAGACTACATCATACTTTTGCAACAGCATCCTCTTCCTAAAACATGCTTCGATAATACTTGAATAGCACGATTTTCATATGACAAATAAATCTAATTTGATTGATCGAATAGTTCGAATAGCTATACTTCATTCCCATTTACAACAAACCGGAATGCTATTACAGACGATTATGACATATCAACAAACGCATTAGGTATTGGCATAAGTGGTAAAGTGTTTAAATGTACACATCGTCGAACTCAACAAAAATGTGCTCTTAAAGTATACATTTGATGTATTCTAATAAATATATCAAATGACTTTTTCTTTGAAATTTCAATAGATTCTGAGAGATTCAGTCAGAGCTCGACAAGAAGTTATTCTGCATAAAAAGGCATGCGAAAATTGTCAATACATTGTGCAAATACTAGACGTCTATGTAAGAATATTTTTCTCTTCTATTACTCTACTATTAATTCAATCTTTGGACTTATTACAGGAAAATACGTTCCGATCACACCGATGTATATTGATTGTAATGGAATGGTGTAGTTGATTTTTCTTCGATCTGTACATCTATCTATGCTTTTTAATGCATTTTTATCCTAGTATGGAAGGTGGTGAATTATTCAATCGTATTCAACAACGAAATGATAATCCATATACCGAACGTGATGCTGCTAGATATATATGGATGATTGTTCAAGCTGTTCATCATTTACACACAATGGATATAGTAAGATTTTCTCGTATAACTTACTATTTCTATATGTTTCATCGTCATTTTGACGATTTCTAGGCTCATCGTATGTAGTTTTACAATGAAAAAAAAACTGATGAAATATTAAATTTATGATCATAGGTGATTTAAAACCAGAAAATCTACTCCTGACAAATAATAGCAATGATGCCATTCTCAAACTTGGTGATTTCGGATTTGCTAAAGAAGGTAATATAGTATATATTGAAGAAAAGAAATACATGAAATTTTGTTTATTATTTCTTTCTTAAGGAAACAATGAACCATTGCCATTGAATACTCCACTGTATATAGAAATGAATTCACAATATCGAATTATTTCATTAGATTTTCTTATTTAGATTCACACCGTATTATGTGGCACCAGAGATTCTGTCTCACACCAGATACGATAAAGTAAAGAGATAATAATGATTTATTTCAATAATCTATTAAAAAAAAATCAAGTTTGAAAATAAGGCTTCTAGTTCATGGAATTTAAGCACAATTCGATTTTTGTTCTTATTTAAGGCATTAAAAGAATTTTTTTCATTTACTTTATTTCTTGTACAACAGGCGTGTGATATTTGGTCGATGGGTGTTATTATGTATATCCTTCTATGTGGTTATCCTCCTTTTTTTTCGGAAGGTGGACATACAACCAGTTCTGGTATGGAGAGTAAAATCAAAGCTGGTGATTATCAATTTCCGGATGCTGAATGGCGAAATTTCTCACCAGAAGCTAAATCAACTATTCAACGAATGCTTACAGTGGATCCAGCTCAGCGTATTACAATTAATGAAATTCTCACATGTTCATGGCTTACTGAATTGACATCCAACAGACCAATCAATATGATTGTACTTCAAGATGCAGAAACTCGACAACAATTAGAAGTGAGTCAAAAAATTGAATTTCTATATCATACTTATTTCAATTTATTTGTATTTACATCATTTTTACAGGCTGCAGGTGAGTGATTGTGTTGATGTATGTACGATGGAAAAATAGTTCATTAATGATTTTTGATTAAAGTTGCTTCTGCTACGGATGACCAACGTCGAACTGATGATGATTTAGGCATTGAAATATCTGGACCAGAAGCATCACGTATCGCCAAACGAGCAGCCAAACGAAACCGACACATGGCTATTGCCGATGAGGGACATCATTGAATGAGAAGTGGGTTAGGATCGTCTATATTGTAAATGTTGCCTTTTTTTACTTTTATTCAAGGAAATATTTACTTTCATGCTGTAGATATTCTCAATAGCATGGAATACATCATTAAATTATATTTTGAAAATTTTTCATCACTGTTTGACATGTATAGTAAGCATGTTTACACAATAAGTTGAATTTCCTGTTTGAGTAGGACTACTACGTCCAGAAAGTTAGCAGTGACTTCGAATATTTTCTGCTAATATTCACTGCTGAACTTGGAATAGGTCAGTAGCTGATAGTGAATAATGTCGAGTTGGATTTTCTATCGATTCCCATGTCATAAAAATCGCGATTAATTAGCGGTTTTTCAGCAGATTTCATCAATAAGTATTAATATTTAAAATAAATGGGTATGGGGTATGGGTGTGGGCATGGGTGCGGGTGTGGATTCGGGTGGATGTGGGTGTGTGCGGAATCGGTGTGGGTGTAGATGAAGATATGATCAACACCCCAACACACACCCACACCCACACCCCAATTTTCTTTGTGCTTCGATTTTTTTTCCTATTCTTTATTGAGCAGTGTTTGAACACAGACGAGCTCTGTTTGTGGTCATTCGTGATGTGGCCAGATTTTCTTAAGTATTGAGTATTTTTCAGCTGATTTATTTTTGAGAGTGACAATTCCATAACGTATTGAGGTGTATTTTCTTGACTTTTTCCTCAGCCATATTTTATAATAAGACACGTTCTTATTATTATCTTTTCAATGCCATTAGCCATACATGCAGTGCTAAGAAGTCGTTTGATGAAAGTGGATTTTACTGATAACACAAAGAGATTTCTGTTTTTGCAGCAGAATTCTCTGTTCCATAAATATGATCTATTTTGTGAATTTTAGATTAAAACAAACAATGATACTGCTATTTCTCTTTCAAGAATTGAATATGCAGTCAAACATATTTCGCAAGATAATTTTTTGTTCAGCTGCAAGTGTCCATTTAAAGCCTTAAAAATGAAGTTCGTGAAATGAATTTATGAGAGAAATTCATTTGTTGATAGAGACTCTGTCGAGGAAGGAAAAGTTGATTGCAATCAAAGCAATCACCGGCAATCTTGGCTAGTAGAATATCAGATTTTCCTCCTTGACATTATAGGTTATCAAAAACATGATTGTCATCCTCTTTACTGATGACAATGAAAAGTGTATTCAGAAACAACCTGAATTCTTTATCTGATGATGAACGCACAAAGAACAATCAATAGCAATCATTGACAATCAGATAATCAGTATGTTTCCCTTTGTGTTCTGTACAAACAAAGTTGAAAGTGCAGCTAAAGAGTAAGGGTTTGGATGTGAGTGTGAGTTATTCTCCTTTAATCATCCACGTCTTGTCGGTGGTGACTGTTCGGTAGACCAGTTTACACTAATAATTATAAGCATAATACATGTTGACCATGAAGTGTTGGTATGGATGTGGATATTCTCTATAGCCATAAGCAAGGCCCATATTCTTATGCACATTCTATTCGAAATGAACTTCCTTGCATGAGAATATGTTTTTCATTGTTCTGTTATCTTGAATGTTTTAATTTTGATAAGTGTAATTTCTCTTCACAAAGCCCACAATTGAAAGATGTTAAAATAAAACAAACGACAGAAAAAGAAGATAGATAAAAAAAAGTAAAAAGATTGCTTTCTGCCAAAAATAATAAACGAATCATTCAACTCACTCTCAATTAACATCTACACGCATACCTTTCAACAGTATTTATCATTTCGGATTTATACAGATTTATTAGAAAAATCTTTTCAGAAACTAAAAATTTGAACTTAGCTCTACACTATTAGAGAACCTAAAGAGAAATCTCTAATCAAAATGCACTTTTTCCTGGAAACGAACTTTCTCACTTGTTTTACATGATCGTGAAAAGGTCAAACATTGTTTCTATTTCAAAATAAAAGGCAAAGCAACAAGAAAAATAAATAACAGACACAACAGATATACAAAGAGGTTAATATAAAAAAATCATATTGGATTTCTTCGTATGAAAATACTGGCAAAGAGTTCGTCTGTCTCGATATAAAAATTCAAAAACTATTTTCCTCTTATGCAACCATGATCATATAATGCCTGATCTGTTATACCTCATCATACTAATTGAATCTTGCGATCAGCAGTTCATATGAGTAAAAGTTCTGGACCAATGACTACTTGAATTGAACTGAGGTCATTTGAAAAAAGAAACATAAATTAAATTTGAATAAATATTAGAACATAAAGAAAATTGTTTATGAATCTTCTCAAAAGACTCATTGTTTAATACGTTACGATCGGGAGAAGTTACTTGATATTTTAAACAAAAAACTTTACAGAAATATTCTTTAAGCATCAACATCAATCTGAATTCTATCATATATATCGAATATAAGTATGTCAATAAGTCTTTTATTATAAGCCTTTTTATTGATAGAAACTTCTCATAAAAGTGACGAGGAGAATATCATTTCATAGGGAGACGTTTGCAATTTTCTTTAAATATCATTTAGATCAAATTTTTCTTCTACTTTTCAAAGATTCACTTATACTTCTTAACATATGGTTCTTACGAAAATTCTTTTACACATATAGAACGTTAACACATCTTTATCAAAATTTTTTCATTGAAAGTCTAATGAGAAAAGAAATATATGGTTGATTAATTAATTGATTTATTATTATTGAGATTTCTTTTACAAAATTAAATATTTGATTTCTAAAAAGGCAGAGACACTTTTCAGTCAACGAAATTAACATACTTCGAGTATAACAAAATGTTTTCTTATTATTGTCAACAGATAACAAACTAATTGAAATTATAAGATTTAAATAAATAAAGATACCTCATATTCAGATCAATTTTATTAACTAATAATCTTAGTAATTTCCTTTTATACATTATTTTATTATTTCTTTAGTTCAATTATGCATTGTAACAAGTTCTCTTCAAATGAAATGTCTTGCTTGTACATTTTCTCACATATTATTTACTCACGTTTGTTCACTTTTTTTGGAAAGAAAAACAAAATAAATATCGCAATAAAAGTGTCCCTTCTACAAATACTCGATAACCTTATCAGTTCATTGCATAATGAAATCGGCAAAAAAATCAATTTATTTTGTTGGAAAAATACCACTTGAACAATGTCTATATTGATGAGAGAATTGAATAGTTTTTTTATAACTATATTAAGCAATGAAGATCCTTCAATTTGTTCTTTTGTCATATCAGTTACGGAAATCAAGACAATTCTAATAAAAAATATTCTAGTCTAGCTATGTATATACCTATTTAATTAATACTTTTTCTAATTGTCTTTCTAAAATTATGAAAAACGGATATATGTCCGAAAATGCATCTATTATTTTCAAAAACATTAAAACTTAACGAGAAAAATACGCAAATAAGTTGTTGAGTATGTTGTCTTTTTTATGAAACTTCATAAGATCCTCATTCAATCGAAACGAACAATATACCAACAATAATTTGACAAAAGATTTGAATAAACTAAATACTACGAAAACAAAAGGAAGTTCTTTTATCTGTTGAACAATTTTTGTAAGAGAGAAAAAAATAATATGAAATACACGAATACACCTACAATGGTCTATTACTATCATGAAATCATTAGATTGACAAGTTTATTTTTTACTTAGATTTGTTGTTATCGTCTATGAAGTTGCAAACTATAAAAACACAGAATATACTTCATTTAATTCTAAGCATATGATGTAATTTCATAGACAGTGATTTTTTCAGTAATTACAAACAATTATCTATTTCATTGATCACTACTCGTGAATATTTAAACAAACTGAATAGATTTGATCAATAAAAGCATTTAGTTTTTGGAATTTTCAATGAACAAAACAATTCTGTTCTTTCTTATATTTTCTCAATTTTCATGATTCAGTTGATATGTTCAATTAATCGATTTCACTTGTGCCGTGTGACAAGCGATGCATGTGCCTCAACATTCGTTTTGTTTTTTATATATCTACAATCACGAAATGATTAAATCTAATATTGAAAATAATTTTGAGAGTTTTATATTCATCACTCTTTCTCTGAATTTGTGAATGCAATTGAATACATATATAAAAATCAGTAATACAGGTCACTGATAGTTTCTTTGTGATATTTACAGAACGTGCTTATCGAAAAGATTTATTTTACACAGTTATCCTTCATAATAAGTGAATGATAGTTACCCCTTTATTACATTTATTGTTTACTTATAATGGATACATATGACCAAGAAAATTTAATTTTATCTTATGGTAGATTTTAATGATTATACCCATGTCAATATCTCAACTATTCTTAAAATGAAGATTACATTTTCTACAAAGTTAATATGTTCAATGAATTATTCTTTGTAATCGAACGAGAAGTCTTCATTAAAATCAACTCGAGTTGATGAATTAACTTGCTTTCGATCCTTATATCAATGTGAACCATATGAAAGACTATTTTTCGATTCAATGATCAATTTTTGACTCGAAAACTTATCATTATTAAGTTTCATAGCAATTTCACACACTACGTGAAACTAAGAAATGTTTAAATCTTTTATAAAACAGAAAAGAAAGGTAATAACTGATAATTATTTTCTATAGGTATCATCTAATAAATTATAAAATTTTGTGATTACATTTTCTCTTTCTTTTGAAATTTAAAAAGAAAGACAAGATTAAGTTACTGATACAATTTTACGTTTCCTTTTATCTATCAAAAAAAAGTATGTAAGGCAGAGTGGAAAAAAAAACTACTAATTCTAAAAATTCATTTTTGAGACAAGAACATTTTATATTACGAAATCATTATATTTTGTATTTATCGATAAATAAATACTTGTTCGACTACCCTCACTTATAGAGAAACGTCAATTTTTTTTTGTTTTTCGTTTTGCTAGGATTTCATCAATCAATCAGTTTCGTTTTGTAAAAGATATTTTGAAAAATAAAATG